GGGCATAAATAACAGTGGGCCAAATTTTTTGATTATTATTATTATAGAATGTGAAAAATAGCAGTAATGAACCGTTTTTTTTTCTTGATTATCCCGTTATTAGAAGTGAAAGTTCTGTTAGTATTAGTTCTAAATACAAATGTAGACCTAAGTTGATTTGACGTGTATTTATTTTTCCTTCGTTGTTCCTGATTAATTCACTGCAGTGGCATTGTTTAATTCTGAGCAGTCTGCTAATTTGAATGTTTTGGTCAGGGACCCCTTCTTCGAAGGGATGATTCATGAAGATGATGATGACGATGAGGATGATGACAGTGGATTTCACCACGATGACTTTAATAGGCCCCATCGGGACCCGTTCGATGATGCCTTCAGATTTGGTTTCAGTTTTGGGCCCGGCGGGATGCGCTTCGAGGAACCGCAGCTGTTTGGCCAGATCTTCAGGGACATGGAGGAGATCTTTGCCAGTTTAGACCGCTTTGATGAGCGTCATGGCATTGGACACAGAGGTGCGTTTGTTTGCTCTGTTCCACAATGATTTTTAAATTGAATTTGTTCAAAGCATTTCTTCATCTTCCATGGTTCTTATCTTAATTTAGGTTTTGAAAGCTGATTAGGTGGATTTATGTGCCCAACAGGTGCTCCATCAGAAGAAGCTCCGCCTCCTCAGGAAGGTGCTGAGAAAGGCAGGGGTGGAGCAGGAAGTAGTAACCCGATTAGAGATTTCATGTTGAAGTCTCCTGACAGCTCACCCTACACATCACCCCTCCCTCCCCCCTCTGAGGCACCAAAGGACAGGCATTCCTCTTCTCCACAGGATCCCAGCAGCCACTTTCCTCAGTGGAGACCCTTCTCAAAGGTAAACCTATTTACAGATTCAGTGCTTTTAGAGTCTTTTCTTGCTGGGTTGTCACCTGATTGTCTTCATTTTATTTTTTTAGTTCCATGATCTTTGGAAAGATGGCCTATTAAAACCAAAAGAGGGAGAGAAAAAAGAGGATGGAGGTAATGCATTTTACTTTTTTTCTATGATTTAAATGCAAGTACAGACAGTAAGCAAATTCTCAAGAAAACAACACTTTTTTTCACTATTCTGAACAGTTCTGCGCCCACATTTTTGTCTGGATTTCTGGAAGAAGTTTGGATGTCTTAATGAAACATTAGATATCCAGACACTTGAAAATTAACTTAGCCTCCAAATAAAAGAATGATGGATGGATCATTGCAGTATAAAATTTCAGACTTTTGATTTTGTCTATGATTTTTCTGCTGACAATTCAGATTGTATATGACTATATGGATTTCTTGACCGATACTATATATAATTCATCCAGACCTTTTGTCTTCTGGTTCCACCCTCAGATCTGGACTCTCAGGTGTCTTCAGGTGGTCTGGATCAGATCTTGACTCCATCACCTTCACAGCCAAAGATAAGGTCAACTTTTAAGTCTGTCAGTGTCACCAAGGTGGTCAGACCAGATGGAGTGAGTGATCCTGTATAATTTTGTACTCAAAAGTTATTCTAATCAAAAATATGGTAATATTGTAGAGCAACACTCAAAATATACCACACATTTTGTGTTCAGATGCTGTCTAACATGCCTGTGAAACACCTGTTTTTAATTACAATAATACAGGTTGTATGTATGTGTGTGTAGACGGTAGAAGAAAGGCGAACAGTCAGAGACGGTGAAGGTAATGAAGAGACTACGGTGACCATCTCCGGTCCAGGTGTCCGAGACGGGCCGCAAGATCAGTCTGGTCTGCTCATGCCAGGTTAGCGGTTTCTAGACAACTTTTTAACAGTGTCCTGTGACTGTCCCATGTAATGTATGGTCTTAAAGTGCCCCTATTATGGATTTTTGAAAATTACCTTTCACGCAGTGTGTAACACAGCTCTAAGTGAATGAAAACATCCTGCAAAGTTTTAAATCTGAAAGTGCACCGTGTATAAAGTTATTGTCTCTCAAAAGAAAGAGTTGACTCTGAATCATTGAAACGAGTCGTTTTTAAAACGAATCCCAAGCCATTTCATGTTGAAGTCAACATGAAACATTAACATATTGCCCGCCCACTTGTTGGTCTTTTCCCGTTGGTCTGAATGAAAATGCAAATTCATTCTTTGCCACTAGGTGCCGCTTTTGGAGCAATAAAAATAGCGGTTTCCCCGGTAACGCTGTACACAAAGCAGCACTGCGCTCACAAACACTGCTTTATCAGGCATTACAGGCATGATCCAATCACTGCAGATTAGCGTCACGCAAAGGAGGGGTTTGGAAAAATGAATTGTTGAGCGAATCTTTTGGGAGTCGTTGAGCAAGTACGGTAAAAATAAATGCATATTATAAGACAATTAAAGTGTTTTTTGACCTTGCATGCATGTCAACCTGTTAGTGGGGACTCCCAAAACCAAAATATGAACCTTTCATTACCCATAATAGGGGCACTTTAAAGGTAAAAGACAGAGAATATTTAAAATAGACATTTTATATTTTAGAGGATTTATATAACATCCTTTTATACATTTTAAAGTAATTCAGAATATTCCTCAAGCTTGTGCAATGCTTTGCTCTAGCTTTTCCTGAATAATCATTCAGAAATGTATTTTCTGCATATTTCAGGTGGATTGAACCCTTCTGTTGACATGCAGGAGGATTTCTCCGAGTTTTCCAAGTTCTTCAGAGGCTTTCGAGGCTGAAGGAGCTGTGGACACAAACCTAAGGATGATCTCTTTTCATCCTTTCCCAGCAAACCCACCAACTGCAAGCTACGAGAATTATTCGTTGATTTTACATTGTTCAGTTTGATTGAATTGTTCAGTGTGAATGTGGAGATCCATTCTTGATTATTGGAGTGAAGAACAATTATTTGCTGCCATAAATTGGCCCTAGTAATTTTGCCTACTGTTTTTCTTTCAATAAACTTTTATTGAGAATAGTTTAAGAATTGTATTAACATTGAACCTTGGGTTTCCCATTGAACCAGTTGTTGAAGCTGCAATGTTCTGAAAAGGACTGACTGACAATTTTAGTTTGCTGGTAGAGAAGAGCAGATACTGCAGATGATAAGACAGAGTTTAATATATTTGTAAATTGTATTTTCAGTGGTGTTTCACTGTGTAACATAAAGAAAATAATAAGATCTTGTTTTTCTAATTTTGTTTTCATTTGTTGTGCTTTGAGAACAGGTCAGTTTAAAAAGTGATGAACACGCTTCAGCTCTAAATCTTTACGATGTGTCAAAATCCTAAAAATGCAATGCTTTTCTTGTAAAATGTGAACTGAACAAAGCCAAGCATAACTAGTCAGCCTGGATTTAACCTGTTGAAAGAGTTACAAGGATATTGAGTTGTGATGAAATAAAGCTTTTTAAATTATTGTTGAAATTATGTTGAGGTGGCCATGAAAAGGACACTGAAAATTTTTCCTCATGAAGATCCTGGGGTGTTTATCCTCCCGGTAAGTCCAAAACTTATAAAATTTATATTTTAATTTGTGTTTTACGCTCCACTTTCTTTGGTTCGTATCAAACGGCACTATTTATTTTTTTGAATCTCAAAGTTAATCGGCTCTTCAGTTTCCAGAATGTGATCTCGGGGTATGTTTAGTAACAAAAAGTTTCATTTTGAATCTGTCAGTGTTGTCGCACAACAGGCTGACCCAGTTCTGCCACATCTAGAGACTTGCCTGTCACAGGTTTTCCTGTCTGCTCTTGTTGACTGACAATCTGAAGCATTTAGTGCAATGCTGACAATGTAAGCTAACAAGTTTAGTAAACAGTATTACATTTTTAACAGTTATTTAAAGTGAATTAACAGTGAAAACAGAAAATAATAATTTTGTATTCACCAATTTTGTATTTCCCCATAAACAATGAAGACATACAGGAACATAAAGGTCAAAGATATAGGCACCAAACCTGGCACACTGCTGGTCATAGTGCATATCATGCCATAAGTGGTGAGAGTTGGTTAGCTTTGCACCCAATTTGATCTTTATCTAGTGACATCATATGAGACATCAGTGACATCGACTTTATGGAGATTTACTTTATACTCCGTTATATAAATGACACTCTCTACAGATATGAGATAACCTCAAAAGCTGATTTCACTTGTATGGGCCATTTTGATCCCAACATGAATAACCAATGGTGTAGAATTTGTTTTTAGGCTGTAATTATAATTTTAGTCCATTGGTGAGACTTGTATAGGCTAACTATGATGAGAATATTGAGAACGGCTGCATGGACACTACCTCTTCTGGAAGCAATCATGGACCTCGGGGTCAAACATTTACACATATGTCAACTAGTGTAGCTTTGCTTAATTACCCAGAAAACTAGTTCATTAGGAAAAACACTGAGAAAATGGGGCCTGAGCCAGTAGATGTGCATGAGAGATATACATTGATGTATGTGCTTGTGAATGTTAGTTATGAGACAACATAAACATGGTTTTCTTTCTTAACTAGATATTGGTTAATGGATAAATGGTTCAGCTAAAAATAAGGTGGCATCTGTATCTTTTATTTTACTCTGATGACACACACACACACACACACACACACACACACACACACACACACTTAAAAATTAAGTTATTTTGTATGAATTAGGTCATTAAGCTTTTGTTTTAAAATTAATAGTAGAAGATTTATGCATAAATCTGGTATATGCCAGCTGTGCTTCACAGGTAAAAGTTAACAATAAACTACTCATCGTTTTATTACACAAAAGGGCAATGTACTACATGTAATTGTCATTCCTTGCCCAGACACACACTTTAACCACAATAGATAGTCTTGCGTTTACTTATGCTGTGTGATAATTAGCTAAACATTTTTTTTTTTTGGAAGACCATGCATTCTGACTGGGTCTTTTCATTACAGACCTTCTGTATGGAGCCCTGAGAAACATCTGGAGTACTGAAGTCCTGGCCTGCATTTACTTTCATTGTAAACGAACAGAAAGACACAGAAAGTAGGCTACAGAGGGCAGAAATGGTGGATCGTCTGCTGAGGAGATGCCGAATCAAGAGCAGCTTGTTCAGAGAATGTCTGGCGGAATTTTTCGGGGTCTATATTTTGATAGTAAGTCAGCCTTCATCTGTATTTGTAATATGGAAATATGTGCCGTTAACATGTATCTCTTAGCAAAATGTTGGTAATTTTCACCAATTTTATGAAATTGCTATGATATTTTTTTTATGTAGGCCTACCCTTACCAAAAAGTAGTATACTTCAAGTTTATTTTAGTAAGTGTACTTAAGTAAAGTTCAAGTATATTTTTAAGTATTCTTTATGTAGTAAGTATACAAATATCAGTGTACTAGTAGTATACTTGTAAGTGAACTATTTCAATACTCCTTGGGACTAAATTGGCCCACTTTCTAGTATATAAAAGTATACATTTAAGTATACTTTAAGTATAACAGTAGTAAACTTTGAGTACACAACTAGTTTACATCAATATTTTTAGCTTGTACTGCAACTACACTAAAAGTGAACTTATAGGTATACTGATAGTTTACTAATTAAATACTTGTAGTAGCATTTTTACTACACTTTGAAGTATAGTCTCAGTAAACTACTAGTTTAGTAGTTTTATACTGCAAGTATACTCGTAAGTTTTCTTTAAGTGAACTTTACATCATATTTTAAGTATACTACCATGTCCCTATTTAGGTATTAATTTGTATGTAGAGCATGAAGCTTTGTGGGTCTGGTTACGTCCCGGTCGTCTTCCTCGAGGGTTAAGTTGTATTATTGCTGCAAATCAATCATTGCCAAAAAAATAAAGAACGCAAAGAAACAATATTACCAGCATGAGGTGGAGGAACTGCAATGCTCCAAGCCAAAGCAATGGTTTAAGTCAATGAAGAATTTAATGGGGATGGAAGGAGATAAGAGTGACATGGTGTCTCAGGATCAAAACATCATGCAACGCGAGTGTGACACTCTGGCTAGGCACTTTGCTTCTGTGTGGAATTATGCGAGCCACATTTCTTTGCCTGAGGAAGAAGTTACCTGCAAGTTGTCAAATTGTAGTGTACCTCCTCTGAGTATTGGACAAGTTAAGACTAGACTCCGTAAAGTGAATGCAGCCAAGGCTGCTGGTCCCGACTGCGTTCCTCCTTGGGTGCTAAAGACTTTTTATGAAGAGTTGGCACCGGTGTTATGTGACATCTTCAATACATGCATTCAGCATAACATTTTTCCAAAACAATGGAAGGAGGCTATAGTCAAAGCTGTTCCTAAAAAAGCAAAGCCTAGTTTTCCAGCAGATTATCGCCAGATTTCACTACTCAGCTGTGTTGGAAAGGTGTTTGAAGGAATCCTCAGAGATGCCATTCTGGAGGATACAGTTACTAAGATCGAACCATCACAACACGGCTTTATGAGGAACAGATCAACTGACACTGCCTTGATTCAAATTCTGCAGCACTGGCATGAAGCACTTAACAGCTCCCCCAAAATGGATATACATGCTGTTTTTGTTGACTTCACTCGAGCTTTTGACACAATTGAACATTGTCGACTGCTACATTCCTTAATATATTTTGTTACATGAATATCTGAACATATAAAAATCAAAAGAAATAACAGGGTATCTGCTTGTAAACAAAAACATTTTATTCTAGCTTCATGCATTCTTTTTTTAAACACTTGAATGTG